TTCCTATTTGTCTTAGTTACTTTTCTCATTGCTGAGATAAAATACTTGACAGCCAAAGTGAAAGAAGGCAAGGTCTATTTTAGCTCATAGTTTGTAAAGGTTTCAGACCGTAATTGGCCAGCTCCAAGACAGGGTGGCATGGTGGGAGCATCACAGAGGAGAAACAGTTCATGGCCGACAGAAGGCAGCAAAGCAACTAAGTAGTAAAGAAGCAAGTCCAAGTGACCTTAGCAGCTTCTTCCCGTCCCATTTATGTTCTGACTAAGCCACTGGGCTCAGGTTGGATGCCCAACCAATCAGTAGACTGATACAGGAGTCACACACCTGTTTAATCTCAACATTGCACACTCCAGATCCAGACACCTCTGAAAAAATCAAACAGCAACAAAAAAAGTGCCTGCCTGAGACTTTGGAGGGACATCTAGGCATAAAGCATAACGCAGCTCTTCTTAGAAAATTGCAGGAATCTAATAAGAAAATGCCCCAATTGACCTCATTCCCCACTAGATCTCATTCCTCCTTTTAGTCTTAGTCTCTGCCACCTCTCTTCAGCCAGTCCTTCCTCTTTTAGCCAGGTGACTTCATTTCCTGCATCCTGCGTGTTTGGCCCCATACTTCATCCTGCAACACGTAGCAGACAACAAATGTTGATATTTCCTACTAGCTCCACTCTCTTTTCTTGTTGTACAATTTCCCCAAACAGGGCCCATCCCTATTGCCGTCATCATGTTCTGTCCATTTGCTCCTAAATTTTGCATAGCTTAAATGTTTCTGAAAAACTATCACAGATTAGGGGAAATGTCTGGATGTTGGGTGCCACATGACTCAGATCTTCAGCTCTGAAATAATAAGAAAAGGCCTGAACAACTCTTAACTAAATGTGCTTTACTAAGTGGTCCTCCCTGATAGCCTCCTTCCTTCAACCAGAGACCAAGTGACAAACCCGCTAGGTTCTACTGGGTTCAGTGCAAGCTATGTCTGTTCATGCGGAGCCCTGACCACATTCCTAGCTTGCTCTCCTCCTCCTAGTGCCCATGCTGATGGGTTCTCTACCACATTACTTTCTGAACCTGAAGGTCTTTCTGACAAGCTCCCCTCTGTAACCCTTTCCTTGTTGCCCAGCTCAAATCTCATCACCCAGCTCCATATTACCCAGCACTAAATTGTGTTTTATTGGAAAGGCAAGGAGCACTTCAGGTTCCATGGACAGTGAGCCAGAAATCAGGGCACACTGTCTGGCAGGTGCCCATCCCTACAGGGAAACCAAAAGAACATTGTTGATCAACTCTCATGGAAAATTCTGGACTTGTGGGTCTGCAGATACAATAGAAAGTTTACAAATATAATAGAAAGTTTACAAATTTGGATCTATTCATAGGACAGATAGAAATAACAACTTATGACACATGCTTTAAAAAATTGACGAGAAGACCAGGCTTGGTGTAAGTCTAGCATTCTGGGAGGCTGAGACAGGAGGATCACGAGTTAGACCCCTCCCTTGGCAACTTAGTGACTTAGTGAGACCCTGTCTAAAAACCAAAATGTCCAGGAATGTAGCTCAATACTCAGGCCCTGGGTTCAATCTCCAGTACAACAACAACAATAAAGACCAGAAAACTGGAAACCCAAAGGGTCACAGATCATTTTCTTATATTATCAGACAAAAACTTTAAAATAGCAAAGACAGGTCGGGGATTTAGCTCAGTGCTTCTGCCACCTGCCTCGAAAGCTCAAGGACCCGAGTTCAATCCCTGGTACAAAAATAAATAAGTAAATAAAATAGCAAAGACTATGATTCCTAATTTTTCAACCTTAAGCACTCAAGCTTGCCTCAAAACCTTGGATTCCTTACACAGATCACTTTATTGTCAGTAGGAATGTTGGTATGGAGATGAACTCTTCTTAACTCGGCCCCTAACTCAGGCCTATGCTGGCCATGCCTCCTTTGGCCACTTAAAAGGGTCAGGGTGAGGGAGGCCCGATGGTGACCCCTCTCCTCCCTCAGCTTCTTTCCACATACTTGTCCACAGCCTCAGTTCTCTCCTCACCCTACCTCTTGTCATTTCCATGGTGTTTTTCATTTGTTTGTTTGTTTGTTTGTTTTTCACTCTCTTGCACTATTTGTTTTCTTCCTTTCCCCACTTTGGAGTTTCATTTTTCTGTCATAAGAAAGCAGTCGATTGCCTTTTCCCATCTGAAGGCTGTAGGAGAAATGCACATTTGTCCATAGGGCTCCTGGAGAGTGGTCTGAGAATTCCATCTGCAAGGGTCTACATCTGCAAAACAGCTCTGCTAGTGAAAGGGTGGCACCAATACGGATGTGTTCACCACCTCTGCCCACTAGGGGGAAGGACCGGATGGCCTCAGGAGAGCCCTAGATGGCCCGAAGGCCTAGTTCTAGCTCATGCACATGAAATGTGTTAGCAAAGGGTGTGTGGAGGCCACCTCTCCGTAAATAAGGGATACTGGACACAAACAGTTCGTTCCCTTTCCTTCTGCAGGCTAGGGAAGGACTGGGCGACAAGAGCACAAACTTGCTTTTGTAAAGACAACGGAAGTCAGGCACCACCTCAGTGACACTGACAAAATTTGTGAGGTGGAAAACAGGAGAAGCAAAGAAAACTACTGACCCATCTGAATGGACCTGGGCCTGTGGAGGGGAAAAGCTAAGCTAGAAGCTGCCACAGATCTTTCCTATACTGGAGCTGGAACCCAAGACTGTGTGTGTGCTAGGTGTGCTCTCTACCACTGAGCTGCATTCCCAGCCTGGGCCATGGAGCCTTGAAATGGCTCAAGCATAGGCAACCTCAGAAACACTGAAGGCAGGACTGTCACCTGGACCACATCTAGGGGTACTAATGGAAGAGATGCCTGAGGAACAAGTGGGCCACTCAGTTCCTTCCCTCACCCTACTGCACCCTGAGACACAAGCTACCGCCCTCCTCTATCCTAGCAGACACCTGGAGCTCTGCTGTTCGCATGAGATGGGTCAGAGTTCACAGAATGCTCCCAACTATCAGTCCAGAGGGGTGGGAAGGAAGGGCCAATCCTGGAAACAGTTAGTTTCCATACTGAGTCTGAGGCCCTCTGGCTGCCTTCTCATGCCTGGTTCAGCAGTGCTGGCATCTGCCTCTGTGGCACACAGAATGATGGCCTCCAGCAATGCCCATGGAATCTGTAGTGATTGCTTGGGTTGGAAGGGAAGATTATCCTGGATTATCTCGCTGAACTCAGTGTGTCACGGGGCCTTTGTAAGACTCTGTACTCCAGTTTGTAGATGTATTTTTCACAAGGTGACAGATTGGCAACTCTGAAGCTATTCCATAGCTGTACTAGAACTGAACAAGCAAGTAAATACATTATGAATAATGAGAAGCAGCCTTCTAGAGATGATTTGAAATATACAGAAAGATGTGTGTGGGTTATATGCAAATTCTGTACCATTTTATTACAAGGGATTTGAGCATCCATGGATTTTGGGATCCACAGGGACTCCTGGAACTACCCACCTGTGGATACTCAGGGACAAAGAAGCTAGGGCTCCTAAGAGAAATACTAATTCTGGGGAAGAGGCAAGGAAAATTCAAGAGGAACCTAGAATGTGTTCTAGTGCCAAAGTAAGAAAGTGCTCATGATTGTCTCCCGCCGAGGATCACTGTGAGTTCGAGACCAGCCTGGGCTACATAGTGAGTTCTAGGTCAGTCTCAACCACATAATGAGACCCTGTCTCAAAAAAAAAAGTGCTCATGAAATGATGGAACTTTGTTGTAAGCACAGGAGTTTGAAGGGGTTTGAGGTGGCAAAATCTTGGGCAATTTAAGCCAAAAAGAAAAAAGGAACTATAACCTATAGATTTAAAGAAATATACAGGAATCATACACAATTCAAAGACTGGATAGGAGCAAGGGCATAAGTCTTCCTTACAATAGAATCCAAATTAGCAAACATACAAGAAATGATAGAAAAAACTCACAATTCAATTTTATATCATACCACGGTAGTAATTGTTATAGGCAAGAAACATCAGTGGATGTTACAACTGTGGATGAAACTATGAGAAAAAAGAGAGCTGCACCTGAATGTGTCTCCTTAAAAAATTTATATTAATTACAAAAATAGTAACTTTATAGTGGTGATCTTGGCAGATGGCCTAAGTATTAACATCAGTCATAAGGAAATGGGGAGCTCCCGATAAGTGCACAAGGAGCTGTTGTGCCGTCCCTACCAAAAAAGTATATGACTAACACTTGAGAAATCAGACAGATCCAAACTGAGTGGCTTTCTACATACTAACAACCCACTGTTCTGCCAAAGTTCCGATGTCACAAGCAACAAAGAATTAACCCTAATCCACAATGGAGGGGACTGAGACAGCCTGGCAGTTCAGTATAATGCAGGACCCTGGAGTAGAAAGGAGACATTTTGGGGACAGTAGGCAAAATTCTATAAAGATTTACAGACTGCTTACTAGTATTACACCGTGTTTATTTCCTGGTTTTGATGATTATTCTGTGCATATGTAAAATGATAACACTAAGGGGAACTGAACTCAGTGTATTCTTTCCTTAATTTTAAACAGTTTATTTTAAAATTTAAGTGGTAATTATTGTACTCTCGTTTGTATTCATCAAAGACATATATAACTGCTGGAGCTTTACCAGTCACAACGTCACGATATCTCATTGCCACATTGAATTGATGCTAATTCAGCCTAAAATAACAAAATTTCTTTATTTGATTTTTTTTTTTTTTTTTTGAGGCAGAGTGTCACTGGGTGGCCCAGGCTGGCCTTGAACTCAAGGTGGGTCCTCCTGCCTCAGCATCCCGAATGCTGGGATTACAGGTGCACATCACTACACCTGGAATAGTTGTTTTCTTTTGAAATATCAAAAATAGCTCACAGCTCTCTTTACCATCTTTGAAGATTCCCTGATTTGTAAATCACACAAATAATGCCTAACATAGCTTTGATCATTTGTTTCCCCTTTTCTCTTTTTAAGGTTAAACCACAGCTTGAAGAAAAAACCAAGGCATCTTACCAAGAATTCAAAGCTATAGAGTATAAAACTCAAGTGGTTCAGGGAGGAATTTACTACATCAAGGTTAGAATTCAATATCGACTTTAGCACTCAATGATATTATATTTCTCATTTGATGTAATGATTCTTGTCCCCTACTGATTGTCCTAAATTAAGATGCCAGCATGATACCTTTCGAGTGACAGGTTCTCAAATTTGGCAGAGGACCTTCTCCATTCTTGTGAATTTAGAAAGCGCTTTTATATTGATTCTTAACTTCTAATTTCTAGAAATTATACCGAAAAAGACTTCATAACAGTTCAGGGCCTGCTTGGATCATGGCCATGGCTGTTTTCAGTGTCTGGTGGGTTAATAGCTCAGCTACCACGCGAGTGGGACTGTACCAGGTAGCATCTTGAAGTTTATCTCACCTCAAAGCTTTATGATCCTGTGTGTCCAAATGAAATGGATTTAAGGAATGACTTAAATAATGTGCTGGGAAAATAATTTTTAACCGTTTTCCCATTATTTTGATTAATATAATATAAATATACTGCAAACATGCACCAATAAAAGTGAATTAAAATTACATATAATTTAAATGACTTTTTGCAACTCAAGAAGATTCAGCTTGTGGCATTCTAAGTACAGTTTAAAGCTGTCAATATTTAAATATTTTCAAAATGGCAGGTGTGGCAGTGCATCCCTGTAATTCCAGAACTCTGGGAGGCTGAGGCAGGAGGATTAAAAATTTGAGTCCAGGGCTGGGGATTTAGCTTAGTGACACTGTATCTGTCTCACAAGTGCAAGGTCCTGAGTTCTATCCTTGGTACCAAAAAATAAAAATAAAAAAAAAAAAAAATGTTTAAGAGCTGTGAATGTAGCTCAGGGGAAAAGCCACTAGTTCAGTCTTGAATATCAAAATAAACAAAAAGATAAAAATAAAATATTTTAAAAATCAACTTTACAGCTGTATCAAAAAATTAAATCATGTACTGACCCAGTCCTAAAGGAAGGAAATACCATATTTTCAAAAGGGGAACCAAATTAGCTAATCCACTATGCACGTTTGGAAGCCATTTTCACCCTTATGTGTTAAAGAGATGATAATTCTGATTTTTAAAAATAATAATAACCATTCAAGCTATCTGCCTACTCTTTGTAGTTAACAATGCACTATGTGGTTTATTTCTCTTTCATAATAAGCTATTTAAGACACAAAATATTTTTAAATGTTTTCAGCAATGATAACAACAACAATAATAATAACTGGAGTTAGCCAGCTCAGCATAAGAAAGTTACAACACTGGGTTATGTCCATGGGTCAGCCTACTCCTACCTAATTTGGGTCCCTGCTTTACACCAGCCCCATGGACTCCCGTGAAGGGGACCCTGTGGTCGATAGACAGCAATGGTATCTTGGTCTCTTGTCCCAATTCTCCCTCATAGATGAAAAAGGAATTTTTTTTTCCAGTGAAAAAATATTTTGTTCAAAAATAGGAAACATTCTGCCTGGGATCATTTTAATAAAGTGTGATTAATCCCAAATGCATCAATTTTATAGATGAACCCCCCTCATGTTTCTTTGAAAATCTATCAGAAAACAATCTTGATATTTTATTCCCTAGATCATCCTGTAGCCTTGTTCTACCTCAGTCTCTCCTCTCTGTTCTCTCTTCCTCCTCTTCTTCCTCTCTTTCCCCCTCCCTCTTTCCCTCCCTTCTTCCCTCCTTCCCTCCTGCTATCAACTCCAACATTGCAGCCACGGACCCCTCCTTACGTCCTGGAATCCTGGCTGTCGGTCCCCTTGCTCTGGCCCATTCTCCAAGTTTAAGGTCTTGCTAGTATTTGATACCTCTATGTATCTTGGGTACCTGTCAAGAGGCAGAATAGTACAAGGGTGCAGGCTTTGGTGTCAGAGCCTCCTGGGTACGAACTTTGGCTGGACTTGTTCTGCTAGTCGCGATTGAAAGCAGTGTGACCAAAACTTCTCCTCCTCTGAACTTAATCCCCTGACCTGTACAGGGGCAAGAAAATCCTGAGCCAGGCACAGTTCTAAGCTCTGGTGAGTCCTCACTCATGTAATCCTCACCGACAATCACAGAGATCAGTGTAAACTACTTCTGTTGTGCTACTGATGAGAAAATTGGCACCTGGGAAGGTGAAGTAACTAACAAAGGTCACCTAACTATCAGAGTACAGTCAGGATTTGGAGGTGGAGCATCCCGGTGCCACCTGTAATGATGTTTGCCAAGGTTAGAGTCCCGCCCCCTGCTCAAAGTATATACTAAATAAATACTAAATACTAAATGAATAATACATAAATACTAAATGAATAAGTAAATAAAATCAATGCAGCAGTTTCCCAATTTGGAAGTCAGGAAATAGAATTACCAAAAAATATAGGCTGCCACTTGCATCTGCTCCATATGTATTCAAAAGAAATGCAACTCTCGGGCCGGGGCTTTAGCTCAGTGATTCTGCCGCCTGCCTTGCAAGCACAAGGACCCAAGTTCAATCCCCAGTATTCGCCCCCCCCCAAAGAAAAGAAATGCAATTCTCGATTATCATTTCTGCCCAAATTATAACTTTAAAAGTACAATAAATAAACCTGGGATGTATGCATCTTGCCGTGCCATTCTCTTCTCAGCTTTCTTGTGTAAGTGAGGCTGTGGGCTTCTGGAAGTCAGCCTAGAATGCTGGCCTACCCGTGAAGTTGCTGTTTCAGAAAGGCTAATGGAGGAAAGTCTTCATAGGCCTGCAGATCTTTCACTTGATGTGGATCCAGAGGAATAAATTGGCTTTTTCTCTTTCTCTCTTTTCAGGTTCAAGTAGGTAATAATCGTTACATTCACATAAAAGTAATGCAACATCTTCCTGGACAAAGTGAAAAGACTTTGGAACTTTCTGCTTACCAGACTGACAAAAGCAAGGAAGATGAGCTGACTTCCTTTTCATCTCGTACACCAGAAGGGGTCTGATTCTCTGCTCTGGCCATAGATTAATGATCCTTCTTAGCAAATATAACCCTCAATAAAGAAACATTCCTTTTCAACTAAATTTCAGTTTTTATTCATTTGTTATATTAAATAGAAGTGATTTTTGCTTCCTCAAAATCAGCATTATGGTTTTAGAGTGGATATTCCATACCAATTAATGTTAATTGGAAATCTTAGTGTACACACACACACACACACACCCGTGGCAGGCCAGGTCTTGGCCTTTAGGTAATCAATCTCTTGTGATTTCTGAGAGCCCAAGATTCCCTCCACCCTCATATTGTAAAATTAAATTAGATATTTACAAAAATATTTATATTTATATTTACAAAATATATTTTTATTTTGAAACTTAAGGAAAAGCTGCAAAAAACCTTTATCATCAGATATTTAAGAATCTGTAACCTACAGTAATTCCCTGTCACCAACAAATATTAGTAGCCCCTAGTACAAATACCAGTGTGCATTTCTCACAGCCAAGAACATTCTGTTGTGGATCTATACCCTTCCTATCCTTTTGTTGATGTGATTTACATACCATACAAGTAATCTAATTAAAGTATACAATTCGGTGGTTTTTAGTATATTTACAAGTGTGTGCAGACCACTATGTATGTTATAGAAAGAATATTTTCATCACATCAAAACTAAACCCCATACTAGCTAACACCTTTCCATCTTCCTGCACTTCACCACCACCCACATGCAATGGCACCCACTATATCTAGACTTGCCTATTCTAGATCCATTATACATGTAATGTATAATTTATATATGATATATAATTTTTATACATGAGATCATGTGGTATATGACATTTTGTAACATGCTTCTTTCACTTAGTACAATGTTTTCAATGTCATCTGTGTTGTAGAATGTCAGTATTTTACTCCTTTTTATCTTCCTTGGAATAGTATCTTAGTTACTTTCTCCTTGCTTAGACAAAATACCTAATATCCACAAGTTAAGAAAGAAAAGGTTTATTTTATTTCGTGGTTTGTAGCAATTTTAGTCCATAGTTGGGTGGCTCCAAGGCAGGGCAACATGGAGGAGGGGCATGGTAGAGAAGAAACAGTTCATGGCATGACAGGCAGGAAGCAATGAGGCTTTCTCCTTTCCCTTTTTATTCCACCCATGCTATAAGCCTATTGATTGGTGCCACCCACACTCAGGGCAGGTCTTCCTGTCGCCCACACCCAGAACTATACTAAACCAATCAGTGTACTGTATCACACACCTGTGATCCACCATCACACATCCATGATCAGGTCACTCTCAGAAGCGCCAATTATGAGTGGATGAGGCCTTGGGGAGATGTCCAGATATAAGCCATAACAAATAGTTTATATCATATTCTGTAAATATATTACTAGCAAATAAGTTTCACAATGTTTTAGATTTTATAATGTTTTATTATATGTTGAAAAATTATAGATATATATATAGAGAGAGATACGTAGAGATATTGGGTACAAAATGATGTTATGATGTGTAAACAAAATGTGAGATGATTAAATCAATCTAACCCATGAATCACCTCAGATATTTGATATTTTTACGATGAAAACATCTGAGATTTACTCTTTTAGTGATACTAAAACTTTTAGCACTCAATTACAGCCATATTCACCATGTTGTGCAATAGATTTTTTTAAACACCCTCAGAAAAATCACTGGGCATAATGGTACATGCCTGTAATCCTAGCACTTGAGAGGCTGAGGCAGGAGAATTTCTAGTTTGGAGCCAGAATGGGCTACATAGTGAGACTATGTGTCTCAAAAAAAAGTACTCTTAATTTATAAAACTGAGGCTTTGTAACCTTTGATCATCACCTTTCCATTCCTATCATCCCCAGCTTAGGTAATTATTATTGTTACCTCTGCTTCTATGAGTTCAGTTGTTTTTAATGCCGTATATAAATGAAAACCATGCAGTATTTGTCTTTCTACATTTGGGTTATTTCAGTTAGCACAGTGTTCTCCAATTCCATACTTCACAAGTGACAAAATTTTTTTCCTTTTAAGACTTATGTTTTTTTAAGCATTCATTTACTAATGCACGTTTAGGTTGAGTCCATAACTTATGATTATGAGAAGCACTGCAGTGAATCTAGGCATGCACACATCTCTTCAGTGCGTTATTCTCAATTTTTTCAGATACATATCTTGATGTGGAATCATTTGACCATATGGTAGTTCCATGTTTAGTGTTTTTTAGGAACTTGCATACAGTTTTCTGTAATGGCTGCATTCACTTGCATTCCTTCCAAAGGTGTCCAAGGGCTACATTTCCTCAGAGTCCTGGCCAATTCTTGTTATCATTTTTTCTTAATAACCACTCTAATGGGGGTGATGCAATATTTCATTGTGGCTTTAATTTGCATTTCCCTAATGATGAGTGATATCAAGCATTTTTCTTGTATTTATTAGACACATATGTGTTCTTTGCAAATGTCTATTAGTGATTTTTGCCCATTTCTAATTGGATATTTATTTTCTTTCTATAGAGTTGCTTGAGTTCTTTATGTATCTTCTTGTATATTAATCCCTTCTCAGATGTATGGCTTGCAAATATTTTCTTTCAATCTATAGGTTTTCTTTTCAACCTAGTCATTTCCTATGCTGTGTGGGACTTTTTATTTTGATGTTATTCCTTTTGTTAATGCTTTTTATCTTTTTTTTTTTTTTTTTTTTTTTTTTTTTTTTTTTTTTTTTTTGCATGTGGTTTTGGGGTAAAATCTTAAAATTCCAGATCAATGTCATGTGTTTTTCCCATTTTCTAGTTATATTTTCTAGTTTTATTTTTATGTCTTTAATACATTTTGAATTAATCTGTGTACGTGGTATTAGTTAAGGGTACAACTTCATATCTTACTTAGAAGTTCTTGCTAAATTGCCTAGGCTGACCTTGAACTCGCCATCCTTTTTTTTTTCTTTTTATTGAGTTTATTGGTACACTCTAGGTATGCAATACAGTTACATTCATTATTGGGATCCTGTACCTTTACATAATAGGTCTTGATTCTCATTTTTTCCCCTTGTCCCTGCCCTCCCTTCACCCCCTCCTCCCCTCCTCATTTACAAACACTTTATTTCCATTTTTTCAGTTTCTCATATTTTTTTCCTCTCCCTTATTACCTTTCCCCCACCTTTCCCACTTTCCCTACACCTTTAACCCTTTACTTCCTATTTCACATTATTAATTATCTCATTAGGATCCTGTGTACTATTATAGTTTTTCACACCAGAGAAACTATCCGGTATTTCAGTTAAAGAAATCTCTGTATGAACATTAAAAATAGGGAATCCTAAAATAAAACTAAAAAGGAAAGTAAAAGAGAAAAGGCAATGATGTAACATTAAAATAATCCTAAATTCTGGAGATGAAAAATGGTCCCTGAACATATTTAAATTGCTTCTTGCTCTTATAGTCTTATCTTATTCTTTTTTTTCATTATTTAGAGAATACTTTATTAGTTTCTGTAATCAAACCCACGTAGATGTGACCTTACATATTTAGTACGATGTGTTACCCCTGTACACATGGAAAAAAATAAAAATAACATTTCTACAGCAATATGGCTATCCACTTCTGTACAATGCCAACTCAACACAGTAAATTGGGATGACTTTTTCCAAAGTTGGCAGCACTGTTAAAGTTTCCCAAAATTCAATTTATATATATATGTGTGTGTGTGTGTGTGTGTGTGTGTGTATATATTTATATTTATATAAAAAGACTAATAGTAGCAATATATTATGCATCAATAGCAGCAACAGCTTTTCCAGGTACTGCAATCTTATCTTCTATATCTGAGAGTCTATCTTCGCATTCTTTTATTTTGTTGCATACACTGTCAATGGAGTGTTTAATCTCCTGGATATCTGTTTGAATCTGTTTTATGGATTCCATTTCTTTCCTATGTTGGATGTTTATTTTTTCCATTTCTTTCTTATGCTGGCCCTTCATGGCTTCTATCATGGTCCTGAGCTCATCTATTTTTTTGTCATTTTCGGCTCTAGAGTCTCAAATCTCAACTTTCATTTTGCTCACTATCTCTGTGGTTATCTGGGAAATTATTTCTGTTTTGAATTTTTCTAGAGCCTGATTGATCTGTTTTGTTACTTCCTGTGCTTTGAGTTCAGGGTATGCTGATGGTTCACTATCGGCCTTTTCATCCTCATTTGCTCTACTCTTTGCCATTGGTGAACTGGAAGTCTGTCTTTGTGTCTTGCTTAAGTGTTTTCTCATTTTTATTTTTGCTGTCAGGCTGTCCTTGGTTTAATCTCTGGGTTATCACCCAAATCTTCCTGATATAGTTGCGCCCTAGCTTCTGGGTCTCTAATGACCCACAGACATTCTCATCTTCCTAACATCAGAGAAAACAGTTCATCAAATCAATCGCAATCCTTTATCCCAACTGATACAATCAGCAACACATTATGATCAAGCACAACTTGGAAACTGACCACCTGTGGTAGTCACTAGTCTATCACCCTTAAACCATTTGAATTATATTGAAATCAAGAAGTAATCCAGAACATGTCTGAAGTGAACAAACTTTTCAATATAGTATATTTACCATTTAATGTCTCAGACAGAGCTAGGTCGCAAGACCCCTGATCTCAGCTGATGGCTGAATCCCATGACGCAGACTGACCTCGGACTGCAAGGCCCAGATTGAGTTCCCCAACCTTCTGAAAGGTTGAACTCCACACCATTCTACTACAGGTTTCCCACACCCTTTCTTTAAAGATGTTCAAAGTTGGGAACTCAGAAAAATACCCTTTATGACCACCTCTGCCTCTGCAGAGTGGGTCCAAAGACTGGCACAATCAGGAGGTCTGAGAGTGTGCATGGGGGGTGGGTTATGGGGGTTCAGGGGTGCCTGCATGGCTACCTTCCTGGTGCTGGAGCGATGGTGTCCATCCTTTTACTTCAGACTCTTGAGTAGCTAGGCATATGTCACCATGCTCAACTATGTTTCTTTTTTTTTTTATTGTACCAGGGATCAAACTTGAGACTTTGCGCT